AAATGTACCAAGCCCTTGTTTGTTACGGATTAAAATTTAAATTTAAATTTAAGTCAAAGTCAACAATTAATTTTAACTACATATTGTAACACCCCGAATTTTAATTATATTTTCCTATGGACTAAATTTAAGGTTGGGCATCTAGCAAATGAATAATCCATGTCTAGCTTGGTCGTCACACTAAAGTCCAAAAGTTGAAACGATAAACTCGACCCACTTATTTACATAAATGGTTTGTTTTGCTTATGTATAATTTCTAAAATTTATCGTAAGTTATTTGGGTCGAATATTTAAGTATTTCAGATATCGATAAAAATATATCGATATTATACTCATTCTGTAGCTCGTGCTAAAAAAATAAATTGGCTCAAGTAGAAATAATTTTGAACTAGTCATATTCGAATTATTTTGATAGAAAGAAAAGTAATCTAAATCCTATATTTTACTAATAACAAATAATAATAATTATATATGTGGGTGTGTGTATATGTGTATATAAAATAATAAATTGAAACACGTTTCTTAGAAATTGGAAAGACAAATCATTCATTTTTTTTCATTTAATTAATTTTTATTACTACTCCAACACTTAACGTTCCCATGATTGATTGAATATCCACCACGATTGATTTGAAATAAAAAAATATATTAATTAATCAGTTGAAATGTTTCAAACGTGGACGCTTGGATTTCTAAACTGATACAAGTAGATATTATATATATAAAATGTGTGATCAATCTTTTTTCCCTTTACCTATAATTTTCACACGTTAACACATACTTATTTTATTTTATTCCGTCAACCACATTCAAAATTTCACAAATTGAGTTTCATTCTTCTACAAACTTTCTGTCCGATTTTAATTATTGTCTCGAAGAATATTTCAGAATTTTTGTTATTAATTGAGATAAGAATACATAGTGTGAAAGTGGTAAATTCTTATTTCTCCGATGTTTATATAAATTTTGGCATGAAATACTATAAGTCCTTCGGGGTCGATTTTTATGTTAAATCTTTCGGGATAGACCGTTTGGTCAAAAATGTAAATCATACGGGATATAGGAATTTTTGAGAAATTCTTTGAGCTATTGGATATCGCGACAAGTTTGCTCTAAATCTAAGAAAATTTGGTATGTTATGTTATTTTATATTTATATCATGTTAAATAAGAATATACACGTATTTTTACCGAGTATATTCAAAATACTCACTCTTACAATAACTTTTCCGATTAGAAGGGGCCGTGTGGACGCGTGGAAGATTGATCAAGTGACGTTCATGGAGTCGCCAAGTTAAAGAAATTTTTTTTTAGATATGATTATTGCAAAATTTTATTATAAGAATAAATTTTTATGTTAATTTTCTGTGCATGTTAAAATGCTTTGGAAAAAAAAAATTCAATTTTGGTGGTACAAGATAAAATTTTACTAGGTAAGTACGATTTGCAACTATAATTGGAAATGAATGCTTTAGTGACAAAGGAAGATCATCGGGTTGGTTGTAATTATAGAATGTAAACTCCATCCTGAATTTCTCAAATTTTTTTCCCATACTCCTGAAGCTGTACAGGTACTTCTGGACCAATTTTTTTTTTTTTTTAAATTTTCCAATAAAATAAAGAGTAAACAAAAAGGGTGTCCACATGTTTATTAATGGTTCTATACGTGATAATATATATTTTTTAAATAAGACCCATGATATTTAGCGCTTGTCAATCTACTACCGTCCGATGAACCCAAGGTATGGATGAAATATTATGTTTCATTTTATTTTCAAGCATGATATATGAATTATTTAAGCTTGAATTCATGAAATACTTATGCGATATTTAGAATGAAATATGTTATGAAGTTATTACTTTGTTTAAATTTATATGAAGGTACGATGATTAGCCTTTATATTAAAACCACAAGAGCATAATGTATTATTCGATATCACTAACCAAGATAAAACATAATTGGACACTTATGTGATAGACATGGTTAGAACTTATCAGACCACTAGAAAGACCACAGTTTGTAGAGTAGCGTTGAACCGTAGGTTCATCATACAGTCCTATGAGAATTTGTGAGTGACTCGACTCGTTTGCTTACCGAACACGTGCAAGACATCTATGAGGAGAGCAACTAAGTCTACTTATTTGGTTGAGTTTACATATTGGATGGACAAAATTAAGGATGAAGAGAAACTTACCTATGAGTGGTTATGTGCCAAACCAGCTGAGTAATGGTCGAAGTCCCATTTCACGAAGGCTTCCAAATGTGACATTTTGTTAGACAATCTCCGTGAATGCTTTAACAACTACATAAAAGAAGCGAGGGGGAAGGATATTTTGACTCTTCTTCAGTCAATTCAAAACAAGGTGATGGTACAGATGTACAAACGTCGTGATTTGATGGCAAGGAGTTCTAGCGATATATGTCCAAATTTTTTAAAGAAATTTGAAATTAGTACACGTGATTCTTTTTTGTGTAAAGCAATATTCTATGGGAAGATGCAATTTCAAGTTTCTGGACCGTATTCTAACGGTCAGTTTGTGGTAGATTTACAAAGGAGGACATACTCATGTTTAAAGTGGGATCTAACTGGTGTGCCTTGTCCACATGCAATAGCTAGCATCCGTGAGTGGGGTAAGAATCCTTTGCAGTTTGTGGACGAGAGCTACAAAATTGCAACTTACTTAAAAGCTTACAGGAATTACATATACCCTATAAATGGACAAAAAATGTGGCTTTTAAGTGGCTTCGACCCAGTTAAACCCCCAACTTGGGTAACCAAAAAAAGAGGCAGGAAGTAGACAAAGCGTCGAAGAGGGGTTGAGGAAGCTGTATTGTCCAAAGAGAAGATGAAGGAGATTGATAGGTAGTGTGTGTGCTGTCCAGGCACCCAAAAGTAATATTTTAACCTCTAAAACTAATGTAGTGGTGAAAGTAAGGGTCGATCCCACGAAAAGTGTGTAATTCAATGTTTTATATTTCGTACAATGATTGAGGGGTTTTTGTATGCAAACAATTGTAAATAACGTAATCAATAATAATGAAAATTAAATTAACGAAAACAATCAAAAGACCAATATTGGTCTAAGTCCACATCCACCGTCGGAAATCCACAATTGATCATAGATGTAAGGATAATTTAATTCATATTTTGAATATTCACCGTTGGAATTATTTTTCTTATCTCTCCTTAATTTTAGTTAGTTAGAAACCAGCGTTCTAATTAACTCTAATTATTAAATAACCCCAAACCAGCGCTCTAGATTCAATTTAACAACAGCTTTACACAATAGAGAAATCGATGAACTAGATAGCACAAACACCAGCGGTTGCATTCAATCTGTTTAAACATTCTTCTTAAGATTCAATAANAGAAAAATAATGAAGAATGAAGTTTGGAGGTGTTCTCCCTTAGTTTTGGACGAGTTTAGGATTAAATATGTCGTCCAAATACCCTACCATAAGAGATTGGTTCGAATAAGGAAACCAAAAAATTCAATTCCAGAATGAACCATACGACTGCATGGTATAAACCAATGCGACTGCGTGGTTATAAAAATTTGCACTGTTCCATCTCCTGTTGGTGCTTGGGCGACTGCATGAACTTTCTACCATGCGACTGCATGGTAGAAATTATTTTCCATTTGATTCACTTTGGTCCCCAAACTTTATTTCATTTACCATTTGGCATTGTTTCCTTCTTCTTCTTCTTCTTCTTCTAACATTCCATGATATCACAATATGTTACTTAGGTCAATTCCATTCTTGATTCGCCATTCGGGCCATCTTCTGAATAATTGCATTTTGGTCTCCGAAATTTCATTTTCTTCCAAATTACGCCATATCCATAGAATTGCCACCTAAATTAAAATATAAACGTAATGAGTACATTTTGACACTAATTAATCATACGAGCACATAAAATAAGGAAGGAAAAATATACATTTTGCATGCCTATCAATAGGAGAGGCGATGGCAAGAATTAAGTTTACATAATTTATATTTTTCTATAAATAATTTAGGACTTGACTCCTTATTCCTTATTTTAGTGTGATTTTAATCCTTAATTTTTAAAAGTGAGGTTTTAAATCGTAAACCTATCTAAATTTGTGATTTTAGGTTCTACATTAAGAACTTGTCTGCTGCTGATTTTCCTTCCAAAGAATTGCTTTTTGAGCCGTTAATTTCTGACTGTTAGACACAACAATCTGTCAGAAATGTTGATTTTTTGGCAGTTGCCTTCTTCAACGGTCAGAAAAGCCATTCTTTTGGACATTTTAATCAGCAGCAGACAAGCCCTAAAATCGAAATGACATTCAAAATTTCACTTGACTTCAAAGTGAGGGCAAAATTGTCCAAGATTTAACTCGTGAATCTAGATTCAAAAAGTTCATGCGACTCACACATGTGATTTTAACGTTAAAAAATATCCCACATTCATGTGATTAAATAGAAAAACATACTAGCCATTAGAGAGCACAACCTCCTATACAGATGTGCTATATATAGATCACAACTTACATATTAGTTTACCAATAGATGAAGAAGAGAAATATCTTTTTACATCACTTTTTACATAATATTGATGATGTGTCAAAAAGAAAGTAGATGAGTTTTTTTGGATCATGTTAAATGTACATAAAATTGACATGGTGATTTACACCCAAGTGAGTGAGTTGACAAATTTTGGTACATTGATTTTGATAACACATTTTACAATTAATTGCCAAATTTCTGACACAGGGAGATGTCAATCAAGTTGTACACTTTTTATTTGGTTGATAAATTTTTTACCCAATCAAATTTCATTACATTTGTTAATAAACTAATATGTAATTGTGACGTAGATGTGACATCAATTGATAGGTCATGTTTGTCATTTGTTGAAAGTTATAAATTTTTCCAAAAAAAATTTAAACTAGCAAACATGCACTAAAAACCCATCTGGGTTCTAATGTTAGTCCTCTCCCCCTTCTGCTGTCTGTGAGCCTCGAGTTTTGACCATGGAGTTCCTTGATGAATATGATAGCAGACCCAGATTCCAATTCCAATCAAAACCATTAACCGAATCCTCTAATGCCTCCGATTCTGGCACAAATCATCCTTCTATTCATAGGACTACCATTTTCATTTCCCTCTTTCTTTCCATTTCCATTTTCAGTCTTGCATTACTTTACTTCAATTTTGAACCCGTCAAATCCATCCTTCTGTGGATTTCTGTTTCCCTTCTTCTGGGCCCCTTTGCCCCTTCGTCCCTCACTGCCGGCGATATCCGCGTTGGCCTTGGTCCTGCTCTTAAAGATTTGCCTGAAATTCCCGTCGAAACTGTCGAGAAAATCAATCGGAAATCGACGAAATTACAAAAGAGATCGCCAGAAGATGCTGTAAAATTTGATGGGTCTTTGGGGAAATCCATAAATATTGCTGATTCTCCTGTGAATTCGGAGAAAAATGAGGGGAATGATAGTGGGTCTTCTGTGAATTTTGTGAAAAATGAGGAAGGGGAGTGGAGCGTGGCGGATGAGGAGTTGCTGAAGAAGTTAATGGTGAAGCATCCGGTGGGGAAGCCGGGGCGATGGGAGGCGATAGCTGAGGGGTACAAGGGGAAACATAAAGTGGATAGTGTGATAAAGAAGTCTAAAGAAATGGGTGAGAGGAAAGTGAGCGATGAGGATTCTTATAAGAAGTTTTTAAGAAATCGGAAGCCAATGGATAAGCGAGTTTCTAATGAGCAAAGTGTTGGAATTGAAGCAACAAACAATAATGAGGGAGGGGGAGGAGAAAGTGAATGGACTGACGGAGATGATTTAGCGTTGCTCAATGCTTTGAAAGCTTTTCCAAAGGATGTGGCAATGAGATGGGAGAAGATTGCAGCCGCTGTGCCGGGAAAGACCAAAGCTTCATGTATGAAGAGGGTGTCGGACTTGAAGAGGGATTTCCGAAGCTCTAAGGCTTCCTCTGGAGAGGCCTCTTAGATTGAAGAGGTGAGTTTGTGTTCCATTTACACGTTACTATTTTGAAAATAAATAGACAATACATATTGTTTTAATGCGATAAGGTGTACTGAGATTTGTTTGTTTGAGTTGATTAGATGGAACTTGTCTTGTTTCGCTAACTTGTCATATTTTCTCCTTGTGAGGTTCAAATTTCTAGACAATTTTACATGAAAGCACGCAAGACATCTGTTTCAGTTGTGTTTATTGTACTGGTCATGCAGAATAGTAAATATCTAGCTAGTGAGAGACAATCATGGAGAATGATGTTGAAAGTCTATAGTTAGTTGTTTGTTACTTGTACGAAAAAAATGAACTAGAAACAGGTGATTTTGAACCAACCCTTGTCACCTGCAAATGTCATGAATCCCCATCGTCCCCTGGCTATTTGATAAGCACATTTTCTCCTTTATTCACAGCTTCCAAATGCGAACTTCTATGTGGGATGAACAGTGGTTTATTGGCAGGTGCATATAGTTGTTGATATTGATATTAGTCTGGTTTAGATTACAAAGGTGAATAACATTACACCTCAACTAGTTTATAAGATGCAAAATAAATTGAAATTTGAGAAGCCAGTTATGATGTATACAGGAGGGTAATATCTGGCATCAAGCAATTCTATACCCTAAAACTGTATTTATTATATGATTTAACAAGAAATGTTAATTAAGATCTAGAAGAGCCGTGCTGCTTTTGAAATGATTTTTATTGAAATTATATTTTGGAATTTGATGGGTGACTCCTATATATGGAAGGAACTATATAAATAGATGTCTGTGGACGCATCTCGTAAGTTATCTCAGTAGTTGAAAAGAACTAGGAAATTCATGATTTATCGTGAGGTCTTCTTGGGTACTGAATATATGCCCTCAATAGTGAGAACAACCAGCTCCAAACCTTTTTGAATGGATAGAGAGTATGAAGGGAATGTTTTGCTAGGGAATTGCGTCCTGAGAATTTGCAAAAAGGGGACGTACAATTAGGATAAAGCTGCACGAGTTTTGATAAGATATAAACTTGATTGCCAAAGAGAGAGTTTTTACCAATCACTTGTCAAAAAAGAAAAAAATTGGCATTAAAAATCGATCTCTGCATTAGAAGGCTTGCCTCTGGCTGAATGGGGGAAATAAGCATATTGAGGTCTTTCATTCGTAACAACCAGGCATATAGATGTTTTATATCCTTCCCCTTTTCCTTTTCCATTCCCGTCTGTCTGGTTCTCTTTTTGGCAGAGGGGAAGGTGGTTGAGCGCACTAGATAAGAGAATAATGAATGACCTTTTTAAGCAGATCCAGAATAACCTGGAAAACTTTTAGATATTTACAAAAGTTAATAAAAAAATCCTGGTGAATGCCACAAAAGAAGAAGAACCTTGCTGCATTACCAAGGCCACATAGTGCAAAGAAGAAAGGTAGAGATATACTAAACAACATAATCTAAATGATATCGAAAGCTTGGTAGCACTGCCCGATGTAAAGAGTATGTAGAAAATCGATCAAAAGAATGACTTTAGTACAATTCTGCAAGTTGTACCATGAATTTGGACTGTGATTTCAATTATAATATTGTCCAACTTCCAAGTACAGTTGTGCAGATGGATTGCTGAGTAGTGGTTAGAATGGATTTGCTTTCTTGTGGACTAGAGGGCTCGTAAAAAGCATTCTGGATGTCTGTTTTGGGGCTTGATTTCTGTTGTTTCTTGCCATTTGCTGGATTGCTTAGTTTCACTTATTCAGCTATAGCTTCATCATTGTTTTAAAAGCTATTTGAGGCTTACCCCTTGAATCCTGAGGCTTCCATTAAACGCCTCAAAGCCTTGAGTGGTGTCAAGGCTTATGCCTCAAGGCCAAGACTCTGTGCAGCTGCAAGCAGGCGATGGTGATAAAGAATGAGAGGAAGCTGATGGGATGAGAATATTATCTTATTATTAGAGATGATATGAGAGATCTGTAGGCTGAAATATTTGTACAAGCATGTAACATATTTTTCTTTCATTAGTTAAGCTGCTCGTGACATTTTGACCCTGTAATCAGCGCGTATAGAAGAGCTACAGTCTGTTTTGGTTTAAACCATTTTGGTGTACTGTATAGGCTGAATTTTGTCAGGAATCCCATTTTAACAACTTACTAATATGTTGAATTAAGGCTATTCATACGAGATTGGACAGACATTAGGACAATAAGGTAAGATATAAGTTAAAGAGTTGGAGGGTGTATTCGTCAATTTTAAGGTTCGGGCAACCTCGTTGAGAAACCATGGTTGTCCCTTTACATATAGTGAAACTGTCGTTACGTGAACTTGCTCTTGGGGAATAATTGAGAAATCTAGCAATTGGAATTTGCTGATTTTGTATTATTTACCAAATTGTTGCATTAACATGGTTTTCTGGGCCTGGGAGATTCCCTTTCTTTAGTGAGAGCAGGCTGATGAAAGAGGAAATGGCTTGTGAGGTTGCTGTTATTGTTGACATACAAAAAGTGTAACCCTAACCAATGTATGAAATCCAGTTAGGAAGTTCAGAATGAAGGCCCAAATAGGACCATTAATGAATGCAGTGGAGGCCTACGAACAAGGTATCGTCGTCGCCCAAACTTACAAGACGCCCAAGATCTGAGCGAGTGGAGTGCCTTAAAATTGCCCAAGAGCGAATGAGCCCATTCTCGCCCAAACCTTCGAAGTGCCCAGGATCTTAGCAAACATGAGGTATTATGGTTATCCAGAACAGTAGTTATTGAAGCAGTTATTGAGCAACCTTATCACACCCCACGATCTAAGAATCACAGTTGTAGGTGGTTGAACGACGAGAGTAATGGCAACAGTTAGATACGACAATTTCATGACAAGTCAGCCTTCATGAAAAAAGTGGGTAGTTATAGAGCAACCAAGCGGTTTGCCATGAAGGAATTATCAAGGAAGTATAAAAAGGAAGAGAAGATATAGAGAAAAGGACCCCGAATCAAACACTCTAAATAGAGAATATGTAATTTCAATTTCTTAGTTTAACTTTAAACATTTCTTTTAGTACTCGTGTGCTTGCGCCCCTTGGAGGCATTCTATTTATTTCAAATTGTAAATCATTGCCAATAAAACACCACTTTTTGGGACTTTGTCTCAAGAGATTTGTTCCTTACACAATCGCCTGAATAATTTTTGAATTGTTAGCGACAACCTGTGCGAAATAGCTATTTTCGTTGGGTAGTCCACTGGGATTAAAGGCTGATAAACCCAAGTTTCCTTTGAATAGCCCAACCTACTAAACTGGGCCCAAAACTAGTTCCATGAAACAAAAAATATGTCCATCTATCCCTTCATTGCAAACCCTTTTTTTTCCTTTTTTGTACTTTTGCTATTTGAAAGTAAATTTTCTTATTTCTAAAAGTAAAAAAAGGTTGGTATACTTATGAAACATTATTTATTTCATGCAAACAATGAAACCATAATAAAAGCACTTAATAAAGTAGACTACAAATCTCGTGATATTTCACCCCATGACTGTGAAATCCTTACTCATCTGATTCACGGGAAGAGACCAGATACAAGGCACCCCTTTGCCATCAATGTGGCTATAAAGATAACGACTTGGTACTGGTAATAGTTTCCTAAAAATATACATTTTGGATAGGCATGGCACGACCTGTTTATTAGATGTGCCGAAGAAAGCACGATAAGTGTATTTTTATACACTTATTTTTGCAATTCTAAACATGATTATATACTGATTAATTGAGCAGGTATCTACATAGTTTAGTGTAAATATGTTAATTGTAGGAAAATTCTCGACTTGGATGCATTTGGAGTGAAGAAAGGCAATTTGAAGCTTAATTAAAGTTGATTCGGAGCACTTAAAGATAAATCGTATTGCATTTGATAAATATGAAGCATTAATAGAGCAATCGAAAGTGATTCACAAGTTTGGAGAGTTAAATTATTCTTTTGGAAACTGTGGGAATTAATTGCAAACTTTCAAAATTTGCTTGAAAATGTGGAGGATCAACTTATGAAGTTTTAAAGATGAAGAACTGTAGATACAATTAGAAAGGAGCATGAGCTGAACTAACAAGAAGATTTAGGGACCAAAATGAACAGTGAGGAAAACTTTGAAGCTTGTCATCTCAAGCCGTACAAGATTAGTACCTATAGCTTAAACACTTTGCGATCGCACGTGCGATCGCAGATTAGCCATCTTTGTAGAAATTACTTTATTTTCTTGTTTGATTCAACTTCTTCTTGAGAAGCAATTAGTGCACCATTTGTTTTACCTTAATTTTATCTATTAATATATATTTTCATATAAAATTCAAGGAAAAACAAGGGAGAGTTTGCACATCTATAGATTCAAAGAGAGGCTCATGAATAGAAATTCATATTTTTTGCAAAGTTTTGAAGAAGTTTTTGATACAAAACATTAAACGAAAAAGATATCGAGGAGATCATTCAAGAACCATTAAAAGAATTCAAGATAAATATTGTCTTCCATCTTTCAAATAATTGGCTCTAATTGGTGCAATTTAATTTGTGCAATTTTCAAATAATTGGCTCTAATTGGTTAGATGTGTGACTTCTATTGTCATTCGAAAAAAGGAATATGAAAGACATCACATATAGGGATGGCAAAAAACACGTTCAACTTGATACCTGTGGACCCTGTCGGATTATCCATCTAATCGGGTAAATGAGGCGGGGCAGGGATCGTTGCCCTGAACTGGGTACGAAAAACATGGTCCCCATCCAGTTACCCGTCTTATTTAAAGTTAATTTCAAATTTAAATTTTTTATTACACAAAAAAAAGAAGAAGAAGGATTTATCATTATTTTTAAAGTGAAAATGAGTTATTCTTAACAAATTGAACTAAAGATATAGAAAATAAATAAATAAACGGGACATGGAACTCGCCCCGTCCCGTCATGCCCTGAACCTACCTCGTCTCACTTTAACCAGGTATGGGGTGGGGGCAAGTTAACCAAAAGACTCAATGGGA